ATATGAGATATATACCGACGTAGGTAGTTTTGAACGCTGTTCTCAAGTCTGTGTTCCAAATCTGCGAAACGATTCTGGGAACAAAGTTACGGGCCTCCTCTCCCCAGGTGTCATGTCACTTCTTTGCTTTTATACGTGTACCAATCAGTACCAAACGTGTAGCAATGGTGCAGTTGGGAGGACGGCGTGACACGGAGGTTCGAATCCTTGATGCTTGCGTTTGTTTTGCACTTTTATAGGAAATGTCTTAAACCTACAGCCTTCCATCATATTTATGGAGCACCAGAAATGCTGACACAAGTAAGTTTTTTCGTCGGCTCCACAGACCCAATAGGGAGGGGTGCACATAGAACCCTTCTACTCCCGGCACTTAAAGGCACAGTTCACGATAATTTCGGGTAATCCAGATTATGATAAAAATGGAAGACAAGATCGAAACTAGTGCGACTGAGGCGAAGAAACTGCGTTCATTGGTGTTTCCAAAGTGAAACAAGGCTTCAAAAAACCGTTAAAAAGGGGGCTGGACGAGAATGAAACCAGAAAAATGAAGAAGAGTGGGGCGTCCGGACGAGCTAAACAGTGTGTTTCACTGCGCGCGTGTGGGTCCTGGTAAGCAAAAATTCATCCGCATAAATAAACAAAAAACCCTAGTAACAGCAAAAGTAGCTCACCTTTTTCAGCCTCTAGGAGTAGGAAATTAAATAAGGAATCGCGGCAGCAAAAACGGAGGAAAAAAGAATGGGAGAAAAACATCACTCGGCGATTAGCTGATAGTGCGTGGGTCCTAGAACGAATAATAGCAATCTGTATTGTCTCGACACTCGTCTAACGTGACACCGAACAAGAGGCGCGAAAGCTACTCAAGCCAGCATCAAAGCTTCCACCATGCCCTGACCGTCGAGATTTTGGGAGGGAGAGGGTCCCTTCTACCACCCATGGGGGCCACTGAGTATTCCTTAGGGAAGAACTCAGTAACCATTCCTATCGTGAACCGTGCCTTCAAAGTCACAATAAAACCCACATGGTGAGCAAGGAACATATGCTAGATTGGGTTAGAACGTGTGTTTCATTAACAGATTTGCCTTCAACCCTACTGGTCGTCGGCTCATGGAGCTCGTTCAAGGACCATGGAGCGATTTAGGGTTCTTTACCAACTGGCAAGGAGGTGAAAGTGATCAACATTCCAGCTGACGCAACTTCTCAATTGAGCCTCTCGATTTATATTTTTTCTTACTACTTAAAGCCATGTACAAGCGTACTGTCCCTTCGTAATTGTTCATGATCTGGGCCTCCACGTTAACAACCGCAACTCCATATTCGCCTTATCTTATTAGTGTACTTCTTTAGCGCAACCAAAAAGCCTGGGTTCAAGTTTCTTTCTTTCTCATGGTTTGCATCGGGGTACCTGGATAGGGATCTGGGAGAATTTGAAAGTCCTGTAGGATATTGTTTCCCACTTCAACTAGAAGGGAGCTGTGAGAGTCACGGATGTGGAGACCTTTCTTTCATGCGTTGCTCACATTATGAGAAGCTTTTCTGCTTCAAACACTGTGTTGGATTATCACATCTATTCGCAAAATGCTCACCTATTGTTTCGAAAGTATTTTTGCATAAAAATGACAGCTGAATTGTACCAGCTAACCTCCACAAATAGAGGGGTATTACTCCATCCAATAGCGCTATAGCCTGACGAATCATCCGACAGCCCTCTCCTGCAGGTGCATGGAGCTGCTGAATTTCTTCACCACATCTTGAGTGCCGGGAGCAGAAGATCTCTGTGCACCCCTCCCTGTTCGGACTGTTGGGCCAACGAGGAAATTCACTTGCTCTAGCATTTCTGGTGCTCCATAAGATATGACGGAAGGCTGTAGCAGAGTTTTGCAAGCGTTTAAGACTTTTCTTATAAAAAGGCAAATTAAGCGCAACCAAAAAAGGATCGAACCTCCGTGTCACGCCTACCAGTCTTCCGTCCTGCCAACTGCGCCATCGCTGCACGATTTGTTCTGGTTGGTTCTCGTATAAAAGCAAAAAAGTGACATGACGTCTGGGGGAAGGGGCCCGTAACTTTGTTCCCAGAATCGTTTCGCATATTTGGAACCCCGATTTGAGGTCAGCATTCGAAACTACCTACGTCGGTAGACATCTCATTTTAAATGGTCACTGTGGTGACTTGCGTACGACCCTATTAAAGGGTCACACTTCCTCGGACGTGCGCGGGTCCTAGCGCGCAGACAACGTACGCAGCCAACGTATGGCCTATGCACCACCGGGCCCAAAAAAAACTTCAGTCTTGATCCAGTCTTCACATCGTCCTCGTCCGTACTCGTTCGCTGCTACTACCACGTCCAGCGTAGTCTCCGGTTCCTCCGTCACGGTCCACCCGGTCGCCCCCTCGTCGTAATGTAATTCTCTGGCGTACGGTTCTGATATTCTGCTCACCGTGCTGTTGTATTCGTATAGGAGATTGCGTATATTTCATTATCGTTGTATCGCTGTATGTCAATATCACTGCGACAAATGGAATGGACCGCGTACTCCCCTCCGTGAGTTTCAGTTCAGGGTTCGACCTTATTTTTCATGATGTAATGAGTAGTAGCCGGCGTAGGACGCCGTAACTATTGTTGTAATTATTGTCGTGTATTTCATAATACATTGTGTGCGCCGTATTAGCATGAATTCATTGCTCACACGATACCGTGTTCTTCTCACATTTCTATCGGACACGAAGAGATTAGGAGCGTTGCGTATTGATTGGATAATGATTCGGAGTGCTGAGTCATAACGATGTCAGTAGTAACCGCCATGGGAAGATCCATCTTGGAGATGAGGAAAGGGGGCTAATAAGTGTATTGCGTAGTTAACGCGAAGAAGCGGGGCGTAGGAGATAATTACTATCTGGGACTTAAGGGCCTACATTGCTGCGTATAATCCGTGGCAGGTGGAGCACTGCGAGCATGTAAGTCCCTTAGGCGTAACAACCCCCTCATCGCACCGTGGCTGGATTCCCTCCTGTCGGAACCCCGATGCGAGAACGAACAGGCAGGGGATCCGGCCCACGACGCCACATGGTGCATCGGACTGGGGTTCAACTTGTGGGAAACCCACGTTGGACCTTTGTGATCGAACCTTCGTCATACTCACCACCCACGCAGGCCTCCAAGATTGCAGCGTAGTACGTGTGACTTGGTTTTATACACACCCGTCCTTTTTCCTAGCATTCGTACGCTATAAATGGGGTAGTGCCCTCTTTGCCCCATGTGGTTGCATGCATTCTTACCTGCACCGCCTCGTGGCAGGAGCCGAGTGCGGGACAGCCGTAAAGCACGTCGAAGCATGTGACTCTGCGCAGGTGGGGGAAGGTATGTGGAAGCCCCTCTTGTACCCTGACGATGCATGCAAACGGGAATCGGCAGGACACCCCAGAACAACCCGCGGCGTAGGGCTAACACGGAAAGGGAGGATACAGCGCTACGCAACGGGCTGGGTGGTTACCCTTGTAGCAGCTCGGAAGCTGTTGTCGACGTCCCGCCCGCAACTTCTCTTGGGGCGATGCGGAGAGGATCGCGTGATGCCAACCATGTTCACCGTACAGAATATCTCATCCTCGTAGTCCCCACGTTCGATCAACGCCACCGCATCGCAACTTAATTCCATCTTCTATTTCTCGTCGTTGCGATATCGTTGTTAATTGCGCCGTTATTGTTTCGCTTGGCCAGCGACGCATAACGCATACACTCGTTACCGTAGGGAGCTGTCGGTACCAATAGTTACCCTTCGGCTCGATATGTCCTCATCTCCGCGCATTTTGAAACGGGTATGACAGTTACTACCTCGTGCTAATATTCAATACGACGACGGTCAGCGCATGCAGAGCGAATTTGACCAAAGCACTCACGGCCTTGGAAAGCGTGAAAGATTCAGATCCCGGCATCTCTCTTCAAACCCGTAGATACTCAAGTAAGTATACGGGATCACGACGCTATTCAGGCCGCCATTCAAAATCATATTATGCAGACTAGCGCAGCACTTTGCACATTGAGGGATATAAGACAAGCATTTTTGTACCTCATAGAAGCCTCGTAAAATCAGGAAGCGGACGGTCAAGTTTGTGAGGCGTACTCGAAAGAGGCTCGAGTAGATGACATCATAGCTTCTACTGAAGGTACTCTCAAAGTATTTCATTCGCGCCTCAGCGAAGCGTGTGTCGAGATAGCGGCAATCCCGCAGGCAACGCATAACGAACAACGGGAAAACCAAGCGGTTGTTCCGACTGCAAGTGCCTACACTTGACCATCCATATTACCGCAGCGATCCTACGACACATCTAACACACCCTTATCTTACCCTTCCGTAAAACCTGCACCTATCTGTCGATTCGCGAGTGGCAACCCCACATCCCAACCAGCCGTACAGCTTGGAAAGCTTACGTTGGAGCCGTTCACTTGGGATATCACCCAGTTCAAAAAGGTTGATACGCATTCGAGTTAGCTGTGCATATAATCCGCGTAGCTCACCAGTCTGTAAATTTTTATACTTACAAAACTTTCTCAAAGGCAAGGCCCAAGTAGTATAGCAAGACCTTGATCCTGATGAATGTAATTAATTTGAGTTGGTGAACGCCTTGAAGAGAGGTTACGATCGTCCTTATGGGACACGTGCGACCCTTCATAGGCAGCTTCAGCAACTCCCTACAGCTCGTAATTCAAGGTCGAATCTTCGTAATATTGGTTCTGCATTTCGCGTGTTCTCCACCGTTTTTTGTAAATACGAAGATTTTCGCACAGTTCTGACCCTTTTTGTTCCAATTAAAGGCGAATTTCCGTTTAACATTTAACAATATTCCATATTAACAACATCATTTATACTAATATTTTAACAAAGCTAACACGATCTCGAATTTGGGTTCAATTCGGTTTCGATCTGGATCAGGTCATAAAAATCTCGATCTTATCATTGCATCCAGAGAAAAATTGAAGATTTCACCTTGCTGTCTGATAGCTTCACAGCAAACACCCTATATCGACAACGTAGTTCTTCGCGTTCGCCACATCGTACACATGTGACAACAGTGTGTTGCTTTTGGGAGTACAAGGAACATAGTTCCACACGTTGTCGATTCGAGGTACCGGTGGTAGCACGTCGCACTGTCGTACGTTTATTAGGACTCTGTTGGAGATACTTGCGTAAAGGCCATTCATCACGATCTTGTAATTATCCATCGTATCGTCTGTGTAGACAAGGGCACCATGAGCACCCATGTACTGCTTCAGCTCGTGATCGTCTTGGACTCCATAGAAACTACCAATGGGAGAAGGATCGCTACAAGCATCGTTCGCCCAGTCGTTACTCCTCGCGCAGAGGGCGTAGTAGAGACCGTAGCTCATCATGGAGCGATAGGTCTCGTTCGTACTCTCCTGAACGCCATAACCCATGCAGGGGTTACGAGTCGAGCTGATCTTCTCGATCATAATCTCCACATCGCGTTGAATTTCACTCTCCTGTGATAGACTGTCCGGAGAGTTGTAGTCAAAGTGCTTCACCATATCCGCAACAGAATCAGGTTCTTGAGTCGGATACAGAAGCCAATTTAATGCTGTCATATTATACCGATGCATACTCAAGCAATTTGGTGATTTCAAAACGTAGTTCCGCGTCACTTGTGCTGCTGAAGGGCAAAGCCCTTAACGGCAACGCAGCGCACCTGAAGAAGTCATCCTGTTTCTTGATTCCGTAGCACAAGGAGGTTTCATAACACCAAGCTCAGCGCAACCTTTAGGGCTCACGGTTGTCGACCAACAACTCCGTACGCTTATCACCTTTGGTGGTCACTCAACACCAGAGTTGTCAGGTGTTGTCGACCTCACACCCGTAGTCCTGCAAGGCAATCGTTTACCATCGAGCTCATTACGAAGCATACGGTTACTTCAGCGCAAACTCTACCGTATTCGTCATCAAGGGATGTTGACTTCATACAACATCACGGATTCACGCTACCACAATGCCGACCCGAGTCGTTCACTACCGACATCCTCATTGATATTGACAATCTCTGGAACATTCGTTGGCCGGAACCACCCGCTCGCCTGCCCCCAGGCAAGGTTCTCCGTTATACTCGGTTCAGCACAGTCGTATCAGGCAATTCGGTCTTTTAGTCAGGCTTCCGCAAAGCCCCTCCTCCTTCGACCCAGCTACAGTGAGCACGTCTCAAGATCATAAGACTCGGTGCCTGTGGTCATTAAATGCGCTCCGCATAGCCGATAATCACGACTCCTCCACTGACAGTGAACTTGAAGAGCGCCTTATATAAGAATTTAACAAAACATCAGTATTCTCTGACGGTGTTCTTTATGTTCGGTTTCCCTAGAAACCATGTCACCATAGACTGGAAGGTAGCAAACAGCTAGCGTACTCTCGTTTGTCGTACCAATTCCATCGCCTTAATTAGTCCTTTGACATCTGGCAGAAATACGTCAAGACAATTGAAGAGCGTATCACCGCAGGGTTCGTAGAAGACGTTCGTGAATAAACCTTCCACGTCTCCGCGCTTACTATATCTCGCATCAAGCGGTCTATAAGGAGTCCTCTTCTAAAACAAAATCCCGCGTCGTCCTTGACGCATCTTTTAAGCGCAAAGGGGTATGTAGCCTAAATGACTGCTTCTACCAAAGACTATCACTTTTGCCAGTAGTCGGTATACTGCTGCACGTCTTCAGCCATTCCTTCTTGTGGCCGACGTAGAAAGGCGTTTTACCAGTTTCAACTTCAGCGTACAGAACGAGATCCTACTCGCTTCTTGTAGCTCAAAAACACGTCTGAACCTCCACCTATTACTAATCTGCGCATTCTTCGATTTATTAGAAAACTATTCGGAGTTATCATTATTTTACTCGCTGCTACAACCAAATTGTACCTCCAACGAGAGGAGTCTCCCATAGCCAAGGAGATTTCTCACAATGCTTGCGTAAATGATGTGATCTTGGGTGCTACATCGAGACAAGAAGCACTTAATAAGTACTAACTTGTTAATTCTTTCCTTTTCGAAGGTTGTACATGAACTTGAAAGAGTTCTTGAGCGAATCTCACAGGTTAATGTGTCAATAACATCATAGGATCGTATTCTTAATCTTCCCAACGCCAAATTACTAGGCATTCGTTGGTTTTACGGAAGCCAAGAAATTGTCATTCAAATAAGGATACCGCATATTCTAGTCTGCTTTACGCGACTTCCACGTACGGTCCTCAGGGATTGCTCACACCATTCTTGGCCGGCCCCTATAAAGGTCTTCATATAGGACCTTTGGATCCAGAACTTGGGGTGGGATGCTCCTTCAGGGGAGCCGAATTCACAGCAATGGAAACAGCTGTTGTCGGACTTAGAATATCCGATACCATCAATTCGTCGCGTAGTCATACCAACAAAAATAACTTCTAACAGCTTAGAGCTATGTATATTTGTATATATTTCTAACGCATTTATGCGTGTTGTACATACATATCTGGTTTGTCGCTTACCCGGACTGTACAGTCCAATCTACTTATGTCAAAATGTCATCTCAATACTCCTAAGTTACTAACTATATACGCTGCGTATAGAGCTTCTAGCAGCTCTCATTGGCATTCGTTCAGCAGTCGTCAAATATTTAAATCTTTCTCTTCACACTATGCGTATATTTTCAGACTCACAATTCCGTTGTACCGAATACATGTAGTGAAGCCTCACGAAGTCTTCATTCAGAATTGTGCGGATGATATTGGTCGTATCATTGCAGAGTTTCAGGGTCAAAATATCAGTGTCAAGTTCCACCACGTAACTTCCGACAATAATCCAGCCGACCGTGCATCTCGGCAACGAAGGAAGCCAAAACCACATTCGGTGGACCAGCCCTCAATTCCTTTACGATTCACCATCAATAGCCAAATGCACATATCGATTTCAGCATACCACCGCAAGGTGAAGAGTTGCAGCTAAAATGTGAGGTAGCGCACGTAATACGTGAAGTCAAATTTATGTCAGTGTTACCCTTCCCGGTAACCAACAAGTATTTCAAACTTCTCCGTATTACGGCTTGTGTCCTTGAGTTCTTACAAACGCAGATTTTCGACCGCGTATCCAACGTTGTACGTACGAAAGTTCCATCAAAACTGCCTTCTGTAAGCTCTATTGCAACAACTGCTATTACGCAGAAGTCGGACATCGTTACCGCAGAGATCCAACTCATACTCGCGCACTATCGCGAAGATGAAGCGATCCTACAGCGGTTAAAGATCGATGCCTTCAATGCTCAACGAGCACAAGATCAATTATCCGATGTCCAGCACGCGTAGGCCCATTGGGCAGTGCTCCCATATTGTAAAAACCATCATATAAGCTAACCCAGCTCATAATACTGCACTATCATCATTATAGTCATCACTCAAAGGTTTACGACGTTATAGGAAATTTTCCTTAACGCTTTTTTGTTCCGCTATATTCGTAGTTGTGCAGCTAAGGTTTTGCGTACTTGCGTCACTTGCAAGAAAGTTAACGGACACGCGTATAGGTATCCTTATATGCCACAGTTACCACCAGAACGCGTGACGAGTTATAGGCCCTTTCAGAACATCGGTCTGGACTACCTAGGTATTATTAACATACACAATAGTTGTACTTTTTTAAAAAAACATGGATTTGCCTCATTACCTGCATGGCTACTCATGCAGTGCATCTTGAACTCGTTTTGGATAACTCAACACGCGAGTTCCTATTTGCGTTCCGTAGATTCATAGCCCGCAGAGGCACTCTTGATCTCGTGTATAGCGATAACTCAACCACGTTCCATGCGGCAGAAAGCGCAATGTCAGTACTTTATTCCGTCAAATCATGGGAATCGATTACAGACTACAGCGCAAAACACAAGATCAAGTGGAAGTTCATAAACCCCTTTTCTTTGAAAAGGAGGTTTCCATGAACGCTTGTCGTCCTGTATAAAACAACGTACAAGTAACATGCGTGGCAAATCCTTTAACAAAGCAATTCCAGCTCCGCGACGCGTACAGCCGCGCAGAACGGCAAAAAAAGCGGCTCGCAAATTCATGAGAAACGCGTAGAGCAAGAAAGCGTCACAACTCACAATTAAACTCATCAATCCTCATTTGACGGCACCAAGTTCAATAATGTGCCATGATTCCAGTTTTCACGTGTACTCTTGGGGAGCGGTAGGAGACCGCTTCTTCTTTCGCACAACCCGGTCATTCTTCCTTTGCCTTCTTCGTAACTGACCAGGGGTTTCTTTCAATATAGCGAGGTCAAAATCTCCCCCTCGCACAAAACAGCCCCACAAGTGAGGTAAAACTCAAAGTGTAGCTCTTGACCAAGAACCCCCACAGTTGTGCATCGTCCTACACTAACTTCGTCAACATCAACTACGTCGCTCAACATCGTCAAGTCTATCTCCAGCCCAGTTCGCCGACATCGCCAACAGCCAGCTGTTCAACAACACTCACATCGTCCACTGATCTCATTTATGCGTCAACACTTACAATTACATGTTCGCCATTGTATTGTGTACTATGATATCTTCAACGTATTGTAATGTAGGAAAAGTTCCTGACCCGCAGTCGGTTAACCTCTCCCTCGAACCCTCCGTAGGTAGTTAGGCCATGTAGGATCTATCGATTAAGTTACATGTTTGTAAATATAGTCAGCGTAGTCCCTGTAGGTAATTACGGGGTCCTCCTTCCATCATCGCTAGGACCCACTCGCCTCTCGCCGCCCCCAGTGTCGTGACTTGCGTACGACTCTATTAAAGGGTCACACTTCCTCGGGCGTGCGCGAATCCTAGCGCGCAGACAACGTACGCAGCCAACGTATGGCCTATGCACCACTGGGCCCAAAAAAAAAGCTTCAGTCCTGATCCAGTCTTCACATCGTCCTCGTTCGTACTCGTTCGCTGCTACTACCACGTCCAGCGTAGTCTCCGGTTCCTCCGTCACGGTCCACCCGGTCGCCCCCTCGTCGTAATGTAATTCTCTGGCGTACCGGTTCTGATATTCTGCTCACCGTGCTGTTGTATTCGTACAGGAGACTGCGTATATTTCATTATCGTTGTATCGCTGTATGTCAATATCACTACGACAAATGGAATGGACCGCGTACTCCCCTCCGTGAGTTTAAGTTCAGGGTTCGACCTTATTTTTCATGATGTAATGAGAAGTGGCCGGCGTAGGACGCCGTAACTATTGTTGTAATTATTGTCGTGTATTTCATAATACATTGGCTGCTTTCATAGTCCGCAGGCAGGCGCGCAGGCAGTGCTAGGGGGGAGGAGGGA